GGGAGGCTGCCAGCAGGGCCTTGGCTTGGAGGGGGGAGGGAGCGCGGTGATGGGGAGGCCTAGAAATGACCTCAGGTCCAGCAAAATCCCTCATTTGGGACTAGTCAGATCCCAAGGGTTCTGGACTAGGGAGGTCCAATCTGTAGTCAGGCTTTCACAACACTGTCACTCTTAATCAGTGACTCTAAATAATAAAAAAGTATTGTTCTTCACTTTCAGAAATTTCATATTTCAGCCCTAACAATTAAAACTCATCGGAACGTTGTCATTTACTTCAGTGAGTTTAACCCCAAGGGTTTTCAAAGGTATTTGGTAGGTTTGTTGATTAATCACTATTAACTAAAAAATTAATCACGATTACTAAATGAATCAAGATTAATTACATTGTTACTTAATAGTATACCAACTTAACTTAAATATCTTAAATATTTTCAAATTTTTTATACATTTTCAAATGTATTAATTTCTATTGCAACACAGAATACATATACAGTGCTCATTTTACAAATATTTGCATGATAAAAAGCAAAAATGGTATTTTCAATTCATCTAATGCAAATATTGTAATGCAGTTTCCTTGTAATAAAAGTTGAACAAATGTAGAATTACGAGCAAGAAATAACTGCTTTGAAAAATAATGTAAAACTTTTGTGCCTACAAGTCCACTCAGTCTTACTTCTTATTTAGCCAATCAGTAACACAAACAAATTTGTTTATGTTTAGGGGAAATAATACTGCCCGCTTCTTATTTACAATGTAACCTGAAACTGAGAAGAGCATTCACATAGCACTTTTAGAGCCAATATTGCCAAGTATTTGTATGTCCTTTCATGCTTTGGCCACCATTCCAGAGGACGTGCTTCCATGCCGATGACAGGATCTTCTCGAGAATGATTCAAAGCAGAGTGGGCTAATGCATGTTCATTTTCATGGGGAGGGGGAGCACCTATTGGAAGAGTTTGGATAAAGTAGGTGAACCAAGTGAGCTTTCATGTGGAGAAACATCTAAAGGGTAATTTTTGAGGAGATGACGGATGGTAATATGACATGCTGTCTAAAAACTACTGCAGCACCAGATGGGAATCTGTCCAGGAAGATACCATACAAGAGACAGGCAGAGGACAAAGTGTTAGAGATTTATTTATATGTATTTATTTTAAGGGGGAGAATATTTCTGCTGTACAACTTTTCTTCCAGTTCATAACAAATGGGTAACATCACAGTCTCTCCACTTGTGAAATCTGAAGATGGTTTAATATTCTTGCTGAAGCTTTCAGGACTAAACTGTGCCCTTTAATTTAGTCCCACCAGAAATTCTGCCTTTGGCAGTGGAACAAGTTGGCAGTTCAGTTTCTCCCAACTACTTTGTTTTGTATTTTTAATTTTTATTCATCTTTGTGCAGTATCACATTTGTTTAAGTTCCTTGTCCTCAACAGGGGAATCATCAGAGAAAGCACTAAGACTCTAGCCCTCTTTTTCATCAACACTCCAACAAGCTCCCCTGACTCCTTCAACAACAGTAGGGATGTCTTGTAAGCAGCAACAGCACTTTGTCACCTCTTGCAATCCTCCGCCTACCACCCAGATACAGTTTTAGTGAGGAAGCAGCCAGTCTTGGAATGATTCCAGAAGTTCTAACCCTCTAGCAAATTTCAATCCTCTGATTTGCTGTCGGCTCACTTGCCCTGAGGCAAAAATAACCAATCAGACTAGGTGCTGGCAGTGCTCGTGTGCACTCTCTCTCACTTTTGCATGTGCATGCAAA